CGGCAGGAACAGCAACGACAACGACACAAAACAGCAGCGAAAACACAACACCAACACGAAGGCCAACGCTAGCAACGCCAACGAACATTTCAAAACAGTTCGCTCTTATCTGCTCGCGTGTCATTCAATGTGCATATCCCAAACCATGGATACCCGCCCTCTTCGTCTCTGATCGTGCCCCCTTTTGGGGGGTATATTCATTCCCTGCCACGCGTGGTTGGTGAAGCCCTTGAAAACGATGGGTAACAGCTAACGGGGGAGCATGAGGACGAAGGGATCGGAGGAAGGGAGGGGAGGGGCAAGAAGGAGGGAGGACGATGATTTGCGGTGCGAGTGGCGATTCATCTTGCGCCATGGCTTGCGCCAGCCACTCCAACACAAATTAACAATAAGTTTCGTCATGAGTCGCGCCTTACACAGCGCCACGTACCACCCCCTTGAAAGAACATATCGTGGATAACCCCACAGGAGGACGTACAGCTGCGAACTGGTGTTAGATACAAATTTCGTGGAACCCTGATTAGAAGCGGGATGTTGGGAGAGTGGGGCGGAAGGATAATGATAACTGCAACTGTGTCGACAGGAGCGCGGAAGTCCCAAGTGAGAGCGCGATTCTTCAACACATTGTGAGGAAGTATCAAGCGGGAGCCGCGATCTGGTGGAAATTGCAAGGCAGTCCCAAGCGAGAGCGCGATTCTTCAATAAATTGTGAGGAAGTATCATGCGGGAGCGGTTCTTGTTGCTGTAAAACGGGGGCCAACGACACAGCTTGACCCTCAAGGCTTCCCCTCATAAAAACAGGGTGCGAACCACGGACAGAGCACTTCAATCGAAAAAAAAAATGTGCACCGCACGGGGGGGATCAACAATACTTATTCTTCAGAAGTGAGAAGTCAACAACAACAACAACGCCAACAAGATGAACAACGCCAACAACACCAACAACACCAACAACAGCAACAACAACAACAACAATCATCTTAAGACTGTTCGCTCTTACTGGCACGCGTGTCTTGCATTCCGTATACCCCAACCCTCGATACCCGCCCACTTCGTCTTCGATTGCGCCCCCTGTCGGGGGGAATATCTTTCTTGTCGGCCACTGACTGAAGTGCGAAGAAGTCTCGAGCGAGAGCGCCGTTCCTGAGTTCGGGGGCCTCTCTGGCCAGGGGCTCTCGGAATACCGATGGAGAAATATTGAACGGGAGCCTTTGTCGCCGTGTCCGGGCCTCCACCAACTTGCGTGAATTACGGGAAAGTCTCGAGCGTGAGCGCCGTTCCTGAGTTCGGGGGCCTTTTTGGCCGGGGGGCTCTCGGAGTAAATCGTGAGGAAGTATCGAACATGAGCCCTTGCCGTCGTGGCTGGGCCTCCGCCAACTTAATTGCAAGGAAGTCTCGAGCGAGAGCGCCGTTCCTGGGTTCGGGGGCCTCTCTGGCCAGGGTGTCTCCGGGTAAATTGTGAGGAAGTATCGAGCGGGAGCCGTTGCTGTCGTAGCTGGGCCTCCGTGGGCCCACCTTTAGGCTCAAGCCAACGCTCAAGCGGGAGCCTCATTTTCAGAGAAAATGTAGCCGGCGTCGAGGCGAGAGCGCGCGGAACCGCTACCAGAGATCAACAATATTTTTTGATGAATATTCAACAAAAGCAAGAGCAGCAGCAGCAGCAACAGCAACAACACCAACACCACCACCACCAACAACACCAACAACAACAACTACACCAACTACAACAACAGCCAGCCAGCCAGCCAGCCAGCCAGCCAGCCAGTCAACCAGCCAGCCAGCCAGCCAGACAGACAAACAGACAGACGAACAATACCAGCAACAACAACAATAATCCACATCGCGGAATCCCACTTCAGCCACGCACCCTGGGACAGTGACTGACCGTTCGGCCCCCTCACTCTGATGATTGACCATCTTAAGGAGGATGATGGCGTTGAACAAACAGAAGGGGTAGGCAAAGGAAAAAGGAGGAATGAGGAAGGAGGGATGGTGGAGAAGGAGAACGAGAAGACACAGGATCGGGACGAGAAAGTGGAGAAGGAGGGGCAACACAAGGAAGAGGCAGGAAGGGGGGAGGATAAGGCATAGCATGTGGATCTTGAAGGGTAAGAAGGAGGACAACTTTCCCTCCTCCTGGCCCGACTCCTGCTTCGCTCTCGCCGTCTTCTTCTCTCCGCACCAGTTGCCCGATGACGGCAGGAGCTGTCGGCGCTGCAAGAACTGTGCCGCCGAGTCTGTCGTCACGAGGTGGCGCGAAGTCTGGTGCCCCGAGCTCCAGCCCCAGCAGATTTTGGATTCCTTAAGGTCGCCGAGGGGTCAGCTGGTGCACATTAGGTGGCGGGACGCATCGTGGCCATCGTATGCTGCATCGTGCGGGCTGAAAGTGCGGCTTTGCAACACGTGTGAGTCAGTGGGAGTGTTCCGGTGCGTGCACTTGCGCATGCTCGGTCAGCTGGCCCCATCTGATCAGAATCCCGAAATCAAAATTCCCAAGGAATGCCCTCCACCAACGCCGTGCTGAATGCACGAGCTCTGCTGTTGGGGCCCCCATGGCCTCGTTTCCGCATCGAGCCGCCCCGTCCCACGGGGGAGGGGTGGGACGGGGAGCGAGGAGGGAAGGGACGAGGACGGCGAAACCGCGAACAGCTGCGCGCCCTCGTGGCGGCCCCTGCTCTCGGGGCCACCTCCGCCCTCCACCCGGCCGACTGCCCGAGGCAGCCGGGGAGGCAGCGCGTGGCCACCCAGGTCGAGTGTTGCTAGAAGTGCCCCTGACCCAAGGTGCCCCCAGCTTTTCGCTTTGTTTTGGGGCCCCTGGGGCCCTCTGGGCCTCGTGAAGGGTGCTCTGGAGGCCGTCTGGGCCACACGGAGAATCATGGGGTCACCTTGGGCCAGGGGTACTTCTAGCAACACCCGACCAGGGGAGCACGGACGAGCTGCGCCGGCCGCCAGAGAGCCGGGCGCCGTCCCGGCTCGGCGGCCACTCCTCTCCAGAGGAGCGGGAGCGGCTGCACGGCCGGCCGCGCCGGGAGGCCCGCGCGGGCCACGCGCACGGCTGCGCTCGCGCACACTTTCTGCTCTCGGGCCTGCCTCCTGCCCCCCGCTCCCCCTCCACGCCCTCTCCCGCTCCCCCTCCTCCTCTCCTCCTCCCTCCTCCTCCTCTCCTCTCTCTCCTCCTCCTCCTCCTCCTCCTCCTCCTCCTCCTCCTCCTCCTCCTCCTCCTCCTCCTCCTCCTCCTCCTCCTGTATCGTAGTACACGGAGGGGCCAAAATCAAGCCAGCGTTGCGACTCCTACCGAGACTGTGGAAGAACTATGGCTAGACACGTCCAGGGCCTTGGAATGAAGACCAATACGATGCTGACATTCGGCCGGAGGCGTGGCTTCGTCGCTATGGTCGTCCTCCCCGAGGAGGCCTCCAACAGAACACCCTGCTCGCCCCAGATGCTTGACGAAGAGGTTCAAGAAGCTAGTGCCACTGCGCGTGCGGCCATACACGACTTTCAGCATGACCTTACCCAAGGTAAGCCACTGTGGAGCCTCGTCAGCGTCACTGCTCGACGCGTAGTGGTACCATCCTCTCCTGGTTGCCAGTGCCCAAGACCCTGTGATGTTTATCTCTTGGAAGTAGATATCCTGCGCAACTCCCGCCCATTCGAAGCGCCTCGGCCACCACGCGAAGTAATGTGTGTTCAGGGCCCTGCCCGCGAGGGATATGTATCAACACATGCTGGCCCACTTTCATCAGGTCATATCGCTCGCCATACATATTTTGAAGGTGGGGATCTCCAAAGCAGTCGCCGTGCCCGAGACACTGGGCGTCGGGCTGGGCGTCGGACTCGGCGTCGGACTCGGCACGGGCTGGGCGTCGGGCTCGGCGTCGGGCTGGGCGTCGGGCTGGACGTCGGACTGGGCGTGGGACTGGGCGTCGGACTGGGCTCCGGGCTGGGCGTTTGACTGTCCTCAAGTTGGAACGCGATCTCCCGAATATATGGTTGATAACCAGTTGAGGTTTGCGTGATCACCAGTCGAAGATGCTGCACTGGGGTGTCGTAATCGACGTCGAAGTCCTGCACGTTATTAATTCCCGTGGTCACTGATCCTAGCGAAACAAAAACAGAGTTGAATGTTCCGACTTGTGCCGTTGACGTGTAAAGCACCGCCTTTGTAACATCATGTGTCGTATCGCCCCAATGTTGGATTCGAATACCTTGCAGAGTGTACTCCGAGCCAAGATTAAACTCGATCCACCATGCGTTATGGTACCGGGGTGCCCCCCAGCATTCCAAAATGTGTTTGTATTACCATCCATAGTGTTTGTCCCAACTTGAGTTGAATGAGCTGTTTCCCAATCGACGATCCAAGACGTGTCCTGGGACCACGCGACTGTCTCCATACCGCGGTTCGTGATGTTGAAGAACTCCTGCTTGAGCTTTCCAGTGCCCAAGCTTGCCGAGTTCGTAAGGTCGTTCTTGTTGGACATGTCCTGGGTCATGGACACCACATGCAACGCGGCCCCTCCTCCAACTGAAGACAACAGCCAAACAACGGTAATCACGAGAGAATGGGCCATTGTGCCGGAAAAGACTGACCCGTAATCACGGAGAAACGAGCTCGAATATTCGTGTGTGTGTGTGTGTGCGTGTGTTCATATAGCGGCCGGCCGATCCACACAGATGCTCCAACCGGAGGAACAGCTGCTTGAGGCAAGCGCTTGAGCCAAAATGGCTACGGACCTCCTCCTCCTCCTCCCTCCTCCTCCTCCTCCTCCTCGTCCTCCTCCCCTCCTCCCTCCTCGGAGCTCTGCTGCACTGGTCGTGCAAGCACAATGCCAAGTGGAAGAAAGAGGGCGAGACCCGACGTCAGGGGCCAACCCTGGAAGGGCAAAGGAGTAACCTTCTCAACCTGGAGCTTGGTACCAGGCACCACTCCTGATTCCGCTCTTGCTCTCGCTGCTGCTGCTCCAGCCCCTATTGCTCCATCCTCCCCCCCCACTTCTGGCCTCTGGATGACCCCGACCATGTTGATGGGCGCGGTGAAGAAGCTGAGCACCGACTGGGCAGTCGCCCCTAGCATCAACCTGCTGGGTTCGCTCTTGCGGGCGGTAGGCTAAGATCCGGAACGACAAAACCAAACCTCAATTCAAAGCTTACTACAAAGCAAACGGGTGCCGCAGGTGCAACGTGTACGCCCACCTGGTCTGGTCGCTGAGGGGAACGGATAAGCAGATGGGCCAGTCGAAAGATCGATGGTCCTCCTCTCCTTCCTGCTCTCCTCCTCCTCCCTCCTCCCTCCTCCTTCTTTCCTCCAACTCCAAGTTCTCCTCATCCTCAACCTCATCCTCAGCCTCCTCATCCTGTATCCTTCGTCGTCCCTCCTCCCTCGCCCGAACCCCCCTCCTCCGCATTGGCAATTCGGCTCTGACCACAACTCCGAGGAGAATCCGGCCGCGGCGACGAGAAGCCCCGACGAAGCCCAAGACGACGAACGAGCAACACGCACTCACACCCATGGGGGTGACGGAGAGGGCTACGGGTGCGTGTTGTCGGATGGGCCCCCCCCACCGCTCGAACAGGAGCCTCCCCCGGGGTCCGACGACCCGCACCCATACCCATAGGCAGCAATCATCCCTCCTCCCCCCGACCCCGCTGTGGGTATGCGTGTGTGCTGTTCTTTCGTCGCAAGAGAGGGCGGACGCCATCCCAGACGGCTGAACCTCAAACCTCAATCGCGAACTTCCATCCTCGTCTTCCTGTGGCATGAAAGAAACGGGCACTTAAAGAACAGACGTGTTATTGCCTCAGATTTCCGTGCGTTGGGCACGCAAAAACCCTCCAAGAAATTGCCCGTGTAACCGAATTCAGGTGTTGCTAATTAGCAAGGAGGCCTCGTTTGTTAACGAACCCATCCAGACTATCCAAACAAATCACTCCACCACGGACTTTCCCTGTGACACGGTCTTCCATCCGGAGCCGCTTGCCAACAAAGCTGGGGTCCGCGAAGGTCCCGTCGGCCCGACGAGGGCCGAGACCCGTAGGACCCACTTCCTGCAGCACCCGCTCCCCGACACAGAAGCCGATGGGAGCTCTTCCCTCCGCGGCCCCAAAGGGCCCCGACCGCTCCCCGGGTGGGCAGTCTGCGTCACAGACCAGCTCCTGCTGGCCCCGGGGGGCCGAGACCAGCAGGACCCACTTCCTTCAGCACCCGCTCCCTGACACAGAAGCCGATGGGAGCTCTCTTCCCTCCGCGGCCCCCAGAGGGCCCCGACCGCCTGCCGGGTGGGCCACCTCCGTCGCAGACCGGCCCTCGCTGGCCCCCGGGGGCCGAGGACGGCCCCCGGGGGCCGAGGGCCGAGGGAAATCTCCGCCCGGCCTGGGAAAAGAGCAGGTCGTCGGAGACCTGGGCCTCTGCCTCACGGCGATGCCTCCCGCCCTCGTGCTCGGGAGTCGCCCAGTGGGCAGGCGCGACGGGGACCAGCTCCAGGAGGGAAACTTCGAGCTGGTCAGCGGTGGACAAACCTCCCTTTAGTAAGCCTCCCCTTCGTGAAACGCGCCTGCGACCGATACCGACGCACCTGGACCCGTAAAAATGACGGCCGCGACGCCCTCTCGCGAACCGAAAACGGCCAATCCCTTAATCGACGTGTCAGGGTAGGAGGTCTATCCACCTCCGAGCTCGGACCGGCGACGCGTCGACGATGCCGCGGCGGCAGGCCCCCGACGGCTAATCCGCACGCCCCTGAGCGGGGTGGGGCGATCGGGCCCATGTCGGCGATGAGTGGGAGACTGGGGCCGATGCCTTCCCCCCCGGAGCCTATCCCCTCCGAACGTTGACCCTGGAGGATGAGGAGAAAGAGCGCTCATCATCGCTTCCCTCTCCCAGCTCCCCCGCACGCGGGGGGGCGCAGCTTTGCGCACCGGTCAGAGGTTTCCCGACACCCAGCCATTGCTGCATGTCAGGGTTGGAGGAGGGGGAATGTGAGGATCAACCGGTGGCGGAGGAAGCTGGGGGGAGTCTGACCAACCCCTCGCGGCGGCAGCCACCGCTGGGGGGGGGCTCTCTCTGCCGCTTGACGCTTGACGCTCCCACCCACCAGCAACTGCTGAAGTTGAGTGCCTCACACACCCTCCCCCTCCTTCGCTTGCCTCCTCCATTCCTTCCTTCTCCCCCCCTCCAGGCTCCGCCGCCTCTGCGACCCTCCCCCAAGGGGTGGGTGATGAAGAGCACGAGTTGGAGAGCTGGAGGAGTACGAGGAGGAGGAGGATGCTTAATTGCCAATTGTTGTCCGCCCTCCCTGGTGGCAGAGCGCCGCCGGAGAGTTGATCACCTCCCCGGCAGCAACGCCCGCCGGCGGGGGGGAAGCAGCTCCGACTATCGGACCTAATGCCTGTAGCGCCAACGCCAGGAGGAGGCGGAGGAGGCGGAGGAACCCGCAGCCTGAAATTTATGCCGCCAATTCTAAGTCGGATCGCTACGCCCTTTTTTGCCCAACCATCATGTGGTGTTGGGTCCTCGTTTTGAAGAGACACTGCCCCACGTCCCTCTCCTCTCGTTCTCCTCCTCCCCCTCCTCCCGCTTCTCCCTCCTCCAATCCCTGCCTCTGCCCTCCGCACCAACCAACAATTTCGGCACACCCCTCACACGCTTCGTGGCCCCATAAGGGGAGCTCCATCCAAGGCCGGAATGGTGCCGCCCGCGTGCGGTACCGCCACTAATTTCGGCACACCCCTCAAAAGCTTCGTGGTCCCATCGGGAGCCCCACCCAATGCCCAAATACTGCCGCCCGCATACGTCCACGTCACCCATGTCGCCGCACCCATCACACGTTTCGTAACCCCGTAGGGACTTCCACCCACGGCTCATATGGTGCCGCCCGCATGCGTCCCGCCACTCATTTCGGCACACCCGTCACACGTTTCGTGGTCCATTTGGAGCTCCACCCAAGGTCCACCATTTGGTGCCCCCCGCATGCGTCCCCGCCACGCATGTCGGTAACCCCTCACACGTTTCGTGGCCCCATATGGAGCTCCACCCAAACCCAAATGGTGCCGCCCACATGCTTCCCCGCCACCCATTTCGACACACCCATCACACGCTCACACGTTTCGTGGCCCCATCGGGGGGGGGGCTCCACACGAGGCCCAAATGGTGCCGCCCGCATGCGTCCCCACCACACATGTCGGCAAACCCTTCACACGCTTCGTGGCCTCATACGGAGCTCCACCCAATGCTCATATTGCGCCGTCCACATGCGTCCCCGCCACGAATTTCGGTACACCTCTCACACGCTTCGTGACCCCACATGGAGCTCCACCGAAGGCCCCAGTGGCTGCGTTCGCATGCTCCCGACGCACTTCTGTCGGCGCACCCGTCTCGCGGCCCCACAGGAAGCTCCGCCGAAAGTCCCAGTGGCTGCGTTCGCGTGCGCCCGTCGCACCCATGTCGGCACACCCCTCAAGCGCTGCGTGGCCCCATAGTGAACTCCACCGAAGGCTCCAGTGGCGGTTTTCGCATGCGTCCAAGACACGCCCGTGTCGATGCATCCCTCACGCGTTTCGCGGCCCCATGGGGAGCCCCTCCGAAGGCCCCAATGGCGGTGTTCGCATGCGTCCGCCCCAGCCATTTCGGTATACCCCTGGCACACTTCGCGGCCCCGTAGGGAGCGTCGCCGAATACCCTGGCGGCCGCGTTTGCGTGCGCTCACCGCGCCCATGGCGGTACATTCCTCACGCGTTTCGTGGCCCCTAGGGAGCTCCACCGAAGACAAACTTCACAACTGCATACGGTTGGGTCCTTCGTCAGGCAAATTTCAGCCAGGACGCTACAAGCATTGCACTGCACTGAAAGTTAAGTCCGCCGCCAAAACATATCCTGGCGAAGAACCCATCCATATGCAATTGTGCGTACCGTCGTTGTGCATATCGCGTTCAGCAGACCTCCTCATGGGGCCCTGGGCGGAGCTGCCTGTGGGCTACGACACGTGGGAACCATGTGAGGAAATGGGTAGGGGGCACATGCGAACGGTGGCGCTGGGACATTGGGTGGAGCTCCCTGTGGGGCCAAGGAACCGTGTGAAGTGTCCCGAAATGACTAGGGAACCGCATGCACACGTCGCCACTGGAGCCTTCGGTGGAGCTCCCCACGGGGGCACTAAACGTGTACGGGGTGCGCCGTAATGGGTGGCGGGGACGCGTGCCGAGACAGCCGCTAGAGCCTTCGTTGAAGCTCCTTTGGGGCCAGCGTGTGAAGGCTGTGCCGAAATGGGTGGCGGGGACACGTGCGGACGGCGCCGCGTGGGGCCTTGAGTGGAGCTCCCTAAGGGGCGCGTGTGCGGTGTGTGCCGACATGGGAGGCCGGGGCGCATACGAACGGCGCCATTGGAGCCACGAAGCGTGTGAGGGGCGTGTCGAAATGAGCGGCGGGGGCGCGGACGGACAGAACCATTGATGAAGCCACGAAACGTGCGAGGGGTGTGCCGAAATCGACGGCGGGGACGCATGCGGGCGGCACCATTTGGGCCTTGGGTGGAGCTCCCAAATGGGGCCACAAAACATGTGAGGGGTTTACCAAAATGGGTGGCGGGGGCGCATGCGGGCTGAACCATTTGGCCCTTGGGTGGAGCTCCCCATGGGACCACGAAACGGGTGAGGGGCGTACAGACATGGGTTGCGGGGGCGCATGCGGGCGGCACCATTTGGGCCTTGGGTGAAGCCCCCTATGGGGCCACGAAACGGAGGAGGGATGTGCTGAAATGGGCGGCGGGCACGCGTGCGGGCTGCAACACTAGGACCTTGGGTGGAGCTCCCCATGGGCCCAGGAAGCGCGTGAGGGGCGTGCCGAAATGGGTGGCGGGGACGCATGCGGGCGCCGCCATTTTGGCTTTGGGTGGAGCTCCCTATAGGGCCACGAAACGTGTGATGGGTGCGCCGAAATGGACTGCGGGGCCGCATGCGGGCGGCAGCATTGAGGCCTTGGTTGGATCTCCCCATGGGGCCACGAAGCGTGTGAGGGGTGTGCCGAAATTGATGGCGGGGGCGCATGCAGACATCACCAATTGGGCCTTGGGTGGCGCTCCCCATGGGGCCACGAAACGTGTGAAGGGTATGCCGAAATCGGCGGCGGGGACGCATGCGGGCGGCACCATTTGGGCCTTGGGTGGAGCTCCCTATGTGGCCACAAAACATGTGAGGGGTTTACCGAAATCGGCGGCGGGGACGCATGCGGGCGGCACCATTTGGGCCTTGGGTGGAGCTCCCCCTATAGGGCCACGAAACGCGTGAGGGATGTGCCGAAATTGTTGACTTGTGCGGAGGGCAGAGGCAGGGATGGGAGGAGGGAGGAGTGGGAGGAGGAGGAGGCGGAGGAGCGGAGACGCCGGGCGCTGCCTCTTCCAAACGAGGACCCAACACCACAGGATGGTTTGGAACAGAGGAGGCGGCAAAGGAGGCGAGGCGAGGCTGCGGAAGACTGGGCGCGGCCTGTCTGTCATCTCCAGCTCCGCGCCGGCGGCGGACGTGCACGCGTCCATGCACGAGCTGAGGGCCATCTCCATGGCCTCGCGGGCGTCGCGCTTGCGGGCGCTTTGCGGGCCATGGGGGGCGGGCGGGTCTGGGGGCGGCCCCCCTCCCCCTGGCGAGGGGAGCGGTGGGAGCGGGTGGAGGGGTCTGCAGAAGGGGGAGGGGGGGCAGCAACGAATCCCGGCCAACGAAATCTCGGCCAGGGGGAATTCGGCCAGGCTGGATTCGGCCCGGGCCGAGCTGAGCCTGGCCGATTTCAGCTGGCCGAAATCAGCCTGACCGAGTTTGGCGTGGCCGAGTCTTTCCCTTGCCGAGGGGAGGAGGGAACAGAGAGAGTCGTCGTTTCTCTCACGCTCCCGCCCCTGCACATGCAGCGCGGCGTCCGCCAGCGCTCCATGCTTCCGGGGCCGTCGTCCATTCTTCGGCACACGGTTGGCCGGCCGATCTCGCCTGCGCCACGTCCAAGGGCCATGACTCCTGGGCCGTCGCCTCGTCTCAATCGCAGGGGTGGGCTCGCGCGTGCTGGCGACCTCGCCGATGCTCCGAGCGCCACAAAACTGCCCCGCCACGAAGGTGGTGCCTCGAGGGGGCAGAGGTCAACTGGGGGCCCCTGCGACAGCGGACACGGCGGCAACGCGGACTTCTGTGGCGGCGGTGGCGACGGACGACGGCGGCGGAGGCGACAGCGGCGACGACGGCAGCGAGGACGGCGGTGGCGGCGGCGACGAAGACCACGGCGGCGGCGGCGGCGGCGGCATCGGCGACGATCGGCGACGGCGCCTCGTCGCAGCCCGCCGACGCCAGCGAGGCGGTCACGCCCCGGAAGAGGGACTGCGCGCCCTCCAGGCTGCACCAGAACTGCGCCCGCCACGGCGCGGCGGCGCGGCGCGGGGGGGAGCAGTCGCCGGTCGTCGCCGCGGCCGCCGCCCGGCGTCGCCGTCGGGGTCGTCTTCGTCCTGCCCTCCCGCAGGGGGGGGGGGGGGCGGGAGGCGCTGCGCCGCTGCCTCCAAGGTCAGGGGGCGCTGGAGAGTTAGGAGGCAACTGCTGGGAGGTCTTCGTCGGAAAGATTAAGGAGAATTAAGCCCCAGTCCGGGGCCGTTGCGCCAGAGTGGGCCTCGGATTGAGCGGGATTAGGCCGGATTAAGCGGGATTGAGCCGGATTAAGCGGGATGACGCGGGATTAAGCCGGATTAAGGACCAGGGCAAAATCAGAATTTGACCTCCCAGGAGTTGCATCCGAAGGAGAGCGTCGGCACAGCTCTGCCCCCCAGGTCATCGTGCGCTCGTACCCCCTGCCAGACTGAGGGAGGCGCAGGGGCGCGCTGCGCCATCGGCATCGACATGCACGGGGGACCAGTGTACTTCAAGCACACGCCATTTTTCTTGTGATATCCCTCGTCGTCTGTCTCGCTCCCCCCTTCTCCCCTCGAAGAAGAAAGGGGCATGCGCATGAACTTCCGAAGCGCGTGCATTTCTTTGATCGGCGCTTGGCCCCTCCGGGATGCGCGGAGCGCGCCAGGGGCGGCTATTGAGGCGCCGCCAGGGGGCCAAGCGCATGTCCAGAAAATCCGCGCGGACCTCCGAAAGTCTATGCTTGAGCCCCGCTTCCTCCTTCGGCGCCCCCCCCTCCTCCTCCTCCTCCTCCTCCTCCTCCTCCTCCTCCTCCTCCTCCTCCTCCTCCTCCTCCTCCTCCTCCTCCTCCTGCTCTTCCCTCCTCCTGGTCATCTGCCTCCTCCTCCTCCTCTTCCTCCTCCGTAGCCATCTTGGCTCAAGATGCCTAGTTCCGCAGGGGAACAAGTGGATACCGCTAGTCCGCGGCCAGTGCCAGGGCTCTCTAGCCCGACAGTTTTGTTCAACACTCCGTGTGCCTCCTGCTGCCCGCAGGTGAGCTTTCTCTGTTCCTCAGCTCGTCCATGGCGCCTCCGCAGCAGCGCAGCGGCTACGTCAAGTGCTACTCCTGCTCGTACGCCTGGAACTGGAAGACCAAGCAGACGTGCTACTGGTGTGGCAAAGCTTTGGCGCCGTGGACAGATGCCCCGCCTCCGGTGCAAGGTGCTTGGGCGGCCCGTGTCTCAGCCGCAGCCCAGGCCGAGGCCAAGTGCACCCAGCAGTCCAGCCCCGAGGGAGGTTGGGAGCCGTGGTCATCATGGCCCAATTCCCGCCGCCGCCGTGGCAAGGGCAACGGCAAGGACCAAGACGACGACTGGTGGGCCAGCAAGAACGACACCCCCAAGGCTCGCTCCGCCGAGGACATCTTGGCGGAGCTCCAGGCGATCGCCCCCCACATCGACAAGGCAGCCATTGACGGCATCAAGTCGCAGATTCCGCCGCCCCAGCCGCAGAAGCCAGCCGACCTCAACGACATCTACAGCCGCGCCCAGGCTACGGAGCGCCGCTGCAAGAACAACCTGGAGAGGCTGCTGGAGAGCGAGCAGAAGGCGCTCAGCTGGTACACAGAGCGCAAGCAGGCGTCGGAGGAGGCCGCCTACAAGTTGGCTGAAGCCCAGGCGGAGGCCCAAGCGGCTCTCGACGCACTCCAAGCCGCCCGCAAGGGCGGCACAGCTACTTCTACGCCGTCGCAGCAGAACCCGACCTTCAACCTCACCAGCCTCCTCGAGGACGGCGACATCTCCATCGAAGCGGGTGCAGCGTTCGATCTCCAAGGCCTCGACATCGACGACAGCGACCGCCAGGCATGGGAATCCCTGCAACAGCGCTTTGCCACGGAGCTCAAGGCCAAGGTCACTGAGCTCTTCGGCAACACCGCCAGCCGCATCAGCCAGCTCCGAGCAGAGGCCAGCACCATGCGCACGCGCTTCGCCTCCAAGCGGCAGCGCGCTGACGAGGATGGGCACGCCAGAGAGGGAGGTGGATCACCGCCCGCCGCCTCGGCTGCAGCAGGCGAACCCCCAGCGGCAGCCGCAGCGGATGCTGAGGGCACTGCGCCCTCTCCGCCAGCGGCGCCAAGCGATGAGCCTCCCGCACCTGCTGCTGGCGTTTCTTCTGACGGCGGCTACGCCACACTGCCTGTACCTGCACTCAAAAGGACCCCGACCTCGAAGACAAGGCACAGAAGATGCTCAACCAGATGCGCAAGCCCACTGCTGCCGCCGCCGCTGGACCGCAGCAGCCTCTTTAGCCGACTACAACCCGACCCTGGACGGAATGGTGAGACGGGGCGCCTACCGTCAGAGACCACGATCTACGACAACCCACCAATCATCAACACAATGGACGCAGTCCTCGACCCGTTCGACGAGCTGGCCGAGTTGGACGCCCACATCGATTTCGCAGTTTCCGAGCAGTACGCTACCGCCCCGCCCGAGACGCTGTCCTCGGTAGGGGGCGATGAGGCGGCACAGACCGTCGACCCCGTGGTATGGGACCCAGGGCAGCCGCAGCGTGCTACGCGGTCCGACCCTGATGCCGCTCCGCCCGAGACGCTGTCCTCGGTAGGGAGCGATGAGACGGCGCAAGCTGTCGACGTGCATGTGGTACAGGAACCAGGGGAGCCGTCGCCAAAGGCAAACCCTGATGCCGCCCCGCCCAAGACGCAGCCCTTGGTAGGGGGCGATGAGATCGCGAAAGCTGTCGACACGCCCGCAGGGAAAGGGCCATGGAAGCCCAGCAGCCCGAGAGCCGACCCTAGTCCCGCCTACCAAGACGAAGGCCCTACGAAGCCCCCGCTGTCAGACCATTCCCTGTTCTTCTCCAACATTACTCAATGGGGACCACAGTCGGAGAAATGGTTGGCAGGACCAGGCAAGCAATATCAGATGGTAGCATTAGTTGAAACACACATCTCGCCTGGAAAAGCGCCGCCCATGTACGACAAACTAGCAGCGGATGGTTGGAGAATATCATCGACTACGGCCACTCCTACCAGTAGATCAGACGGCGGCAACACGGGTGGCGAGATCATCTTATCCAGGTACCATGTCCAGGCCACCACGTTCAACCACCTCCGTGACCTTGCCATTTCCCAGCGCAGGCCTGACCCGTTCCTCGGCTTCACGCCCATGGTATGGCACAGACGTTCTGGCAACTTGGTTGTTATTGCCGCGTATCTGGAACCCCACAGGCAGATCGAGGGTGCAGTACACGATAAGCTACTTTCGCTGGGAGCGTTCGTTACTATGCTCACAGACCCTTGGATCATCCTGGCCGATTGGAACATGACACCTGAGCAGCTTGCAGCGACAGAGTGGCTCGCCAAATGGAATGCTACCATCGTGCGAGCACCTGGATCCGCCACTTGCGACAAGGGCCAGGGACTCACGCTTGATTTCGCATTGGTCAAGACTGGCATCGAGCACACGATCTCCATTCGCCAGTGCCCCACAGTACCCTGGGCCACCCACGTTGGCCTTGAAGTTCGAGCAGGCAGTGCAGACCCCTGGTGGTATCAGTCGATCGATACCCCCAAGTCCTTCCCCATAGTGGACAGACCCAGGATTCCGCCAGACCCCAACAGCAAGACCGCCATCAAGAAACGTAAAACAGCTGAAGCTCGAGCAGCACGTCTCCGTGATCTACCTCCTGAACTCCAACAAGCAGCAGCACAGCTTCAGCCACAAGGCGAGCCCGCAGCACAGGAACCTATCCCCTACGCCATCCCGATGGACTTGCGGGAAAACAATGGCAGGAAGCGGTACCCACACGTTGTAAGCAGCCACACGCGCACTTCGTGTACAGACACTGGGTGCACGACGCCGACGTCCTCAACCTCAAGTACGCCAAATGGGTCACGGCGCTCGAGAACACCATGATCAGCCACCACCAGATTGACCCGAAGGCAGCTGCAACATACACTGGCCGAGCTCAGGGCTACCAGTTATCTTGGAAGAAGACAGCTGCTGCCCCAGGCCGCGTACACGTACACGACCCACATTCGGAATGGTGGGCAATTACGCTCACCCTCATCAAGCGCTACGCCGCGCTTCACGACAAGCCCAAGCACGCAGCGCTTATGCAGCAGCAGGCCACCATCATCCAGCAGCGCGCGGACCACTTCAACACTCACATGCACGACCTTCAGTTCGAGAAGGATGAGGACACCATCTTCCGCTGGTTTGCGCTCGTCTGGGCCCCGCACCTGGACAAGGATGACACCGACGACTTGGTCACCATTACCGCTACCTGGGCCTCCAGAGCCCTCTCGGCCGCCCTCGCCAAGTCCAAGAGGGCCTACGGGGCTTGGCTCGCCCAGCAATGGAAGCACCGCCCTGGAGTACTACACGCCCATGTCAAGCCAGCACCCGCACGTCACATCGAGGCCTACACGGCCAACCTGACCATCGCTGACCCCGCCGTCATCATGGACAACAAGAAGCAACAATGGCAGCAAGTATGGCAAGCCACCGAGACCTCCGACGACATCCTCCAGGCCCTGTCAAAGGCCAAGGCAGCAGCTGCTCATCAACCGCTCGAGCCCATCACAGCCGAGATCGTACACCGCATTCACGGCCGCATGCCACCCAGTAAAGCACACGGAGTTGACGCCCTAGGACCTCGCGACCTCCATCGATTACCAGAACCAGCAGTCGAAGCTTATGCAGATATCCTCAACTCAGTGGAGCAAGCAGGCATCTGGCCACTACAAATTTCAGGCACCATTGCAGCTCTCGCCGCCAAGAAGTCTGGAGGCGACAGGGTCCTCGGCATGCTCCCTCATATGGCCAGACTCTGGTCTCGCATTAGATCTACCGCATCGGCAGCCTGGACGCAAGGTCTGGACGACTTTTGGACTACAGCCATCAAAGGCTCTTCAGCTCTCCAAGCCGCCCTACATAGGGCCTTGTTAGACGAGACAGCCTCAGCACTTGGCATACAGTCGGCCACCTTGCTATTAGACATCCAGAAATTCTACGACAATATCAAGCTCGCCAACCTCATCATGGTCGGCCTCAACTGCGGCTTTCCCCCCATCCTTCTATTATTGGAGGTGCAGCTATACCTGGCGCCCAGATTCTTGCGCAGTCGGCAATGGGTGAGTATGCCTATCTTCGCCTCCAAAGGCATCATTGCAGGCTCCCCTCACGGCACCACCCTGGCACGACTTATTTTGCTACCAATTATTCGACAAGCCCAAGCTCAGGCAGAGCTTGCCCAGGTGTGGACCTTCGTCGACGACACTGCTCTTCGAGTCGAAGGAGTCCTACGTGCTTTACAGAAGCACCTCTCCCGTGCCGCCAGGACGCTCTGCGACGGATTAAAGGAGTTCGAGCTGCCTATCTCAGACAAGACCGTCCTCATCGGCTCCACTCCCAAGGTCCGCCACTCGCTAGCCAAGAAGATGCGACAGTACGACATCCCAGTTACTGCGACCTCCACGGCCGTCGACCTTGGAGTTGACGCGGCCGCGGCTACTCGACGTGTACAAGCCAAAGCCGGGAAGCGACAGATCTCAGCCACAGCCAGGTTTCGCAAGATACACCGACTACGGAGCACTGCACAGCAGGCCCGAATCTCAGCTGGACTGTGGCGCACTGGTGCTCTCCCAGAAGGAGTATTCGGTCATCAGGTTCACGGCCTCGCTCGGCACGCTCTACTACGCTGGCGGCGTCAGGCCGCCATTGCAGCCACGGGCGCTGCCGCAGGCCGATGCCTCGCCTCCCTCCTCGGCGCCACTTTTGACGGCATGGGCCCAGGAGTTTCCCTAAGGATCGAGTTCATCGAGGCTTGGCTTCAGCGCTGGATGCGCCACCCGAGCACGCACGCCAGGATCATCAGAGCCTGGCCAAGGATCAAGACCACCTTGCTCGCCGCTGGCCCCAAGCTGTGGTGCGAGGTCAAGGGCCCCACAGGCGCGGCCATCGCGACCCTGCTGGAGGCTAGTTGGGAGCCGACCTCAGCTACCAAGTGGAGGCGTACGAAGGACGGCTACATCGAGGAGTGGAACCTCCCCCCTGCCGACGACCCCGACCTCCTCGACGCCGACATTCACACAGTATTGCAGGACCTCTGCGAGGATTTACACAGGCTCCTCTGGACGCAGGCCGCTACGCATGCCCATGGAGACACGCTGGCTGGAGGCGCAGACATGGTCACTATCCGCATTGAACAAAGGAGGTTCCTCGCAAACGGCGACTTCAGCGACTGGGCCCTCAACAACACCATCATCAGCGGAGGACAGTGGACCAGAGACCGCCTCCACAACGCGGGCTACCAGATCGACAGGAACTGCGACCGCTGCAACGCTGGAGTTCCTGAAACCTTGTTTGACCGAATGTGGCAGTGCGAGGCGAACGTTGGGCCCGAGTTTGAGGCCAGCGACGAGCTACTGCCGCGAGCCTTGGCGGGGGCCGACGCCGACCCCGCCTTGTGGCTCCGTGGCATTCCCTCTGTTGCTCTCACTACGCCCACGTTCGAGCCATTGACTGGGAGGGACGGGTGGGAGTTTGTTGGTGCGGTGCGGGAGGGTTTGCCGTCCTGGGAAGGTGCTCGTAACGCAGAGGGTGAGTTGTTTCTTTTTGGTGACGGGTCTGGCGGTGCCTTTTCTGACGACGTCAGGCGACGTCGCGTCGGATCTGGCCTCGCGGCCCTCCGTTGGAACCCTCCCTCGGCCTCCTGGACCCTCCGCGCGGGCCTCCTTGCCCCCCTCCCAGGCCCCCGCCAGACCGTCCCAAGAGGAGAATTATATGCGTTTTGCCTGGCACTAGAGACGTGCCATCAGGATTTCACGTTTGTTACCGATCACCTAGCCTTGCAGCGTGGTTGGCAGAATGGCAGATGTCTCAGGCCAGGCAGCCTCAGAGGTAAGAATAAGAATGGAGATCTCTGGCTGAGAATTCGGCATCTCGTGCAGGATCGACCTTGCGGCGTCTCCTCGGTCACGGTGCTCTGGACCCCATCTCATGCCGATCCCCAGACTCTTCACGGTTTTCAGAAATTCCTAGCTCTCGGCAATCAGCAAGCCGATGAGCTTGCGGGAAGCGCGGCCCACAAGTCGGCCACCCTTGCCCTCCCGCCTGTGCCCAGGACTGACGAATACGATGCTATCGCAGCGATTGTCCGACAGCGGGCACGACTAATCCTACGTTCCTTAGGAAAGAATTCAGAGCCTCGAGGACTGTGGCCAGAGAGGCAACCCACGCAGGAGGCAGCCCCTCGTTCTCTGTTGCAGACCGCGATCGCGGCTTCACAGCACAAATTCGAGCGGTGTGCAGACAAATGGCGATGCTGTGCCTGCCTCATCATCGTCGATGCTTGCCAGGTTATTCCAGCCGCCGCCACGGAGTGTGTACCGCCTTGCCCCCTTCCCGAGTTTGCTGCTTGTGGCGAGGTGCTGTGGTCGAGGGGTCCCCGTGTGATCAGTGGCAAGGCGATACACCCCTCCCACACGTTGGCCACCATCCCCAAGTGGCAAATGTTCTTCTGCGTGAAGTGCGGCCATACGGCCATACACCAGGTCAAAAGCTTACAGTTCCCTTGCCCTCTCACCCACCAAGTGGGAGAGCGCAGGGCCCTGGGACCCACTGGCAAAGGCCTCGAAAACCTCAGCAGGATCAGGCGAGGCCTCCATCCGTCCAGATCGGGTCCCAGCAAGTCTGTTCTAGAGGCTATGCATGTTTCGGCAGCCGAAGCCGCGATCGTTTCTCACGCGGCTGGCGCTGCCTCTGAGTAAATTGCGAGGCCAGGGGGGCCTGTCGCGGTGTGCCGTGGGATGTCGCCCCCCACGGCTCTCCGAGAAATTCTGGATGGCCCCCCTGGCGTCTCTGGGTTCCCGAACGGACTACGTCCGATTGCTCCACTCCACTCCTCCTCTTCCTCCTCCTCCTCCGTCATCCTCCCACCTCCCCCGAAAATAGCCAATACCTTCTGAAGGCATGCGAGAGCAATCGACAATACCCCCCGACGGCGACGACGATGATACCATTATGGGAGTCGAGGGCCGAGGATCTGATGTCGAACGTCGATGATCCAGGATCAAGGGTGGTAGCCCCGAAAGGCCAGAGGAGGGCTCAGAGGTGCCCCTCCAGGGCCTCGAGCACTCGATCTTTGAAGCCTCGAGCACTCGATCCTCGATCTTTGAAGCCTCAGCAGGGCTCAGAGGACCCTCGAGCTTTGAAGCCTCGAGCACTCGATCCTCGATCGTCGGCGTCGGCGGCAGCGCCGGGCCAGGCGGAGGCGCGCAGACGCGCTCCCAGGTGCTGCTCGGGTCCGCCCGCAGGACGACGCCTGGGCTGCCGCCACTCCCTTCGCGCGAGCCGTCGGCGGCGGCGCCGTCGCCGTCGCCGCTGGGCACAGGGCCTCCATGGGGGCCGCGAGAGATGGCAATCGGAACGTGGCCGCAGGAACGCAGGCCGAACCTCGCCGGCCCGGGGGTGGAAAAGACGTGTGGGACGTTTACACGTCCCCCCTCCCTTTGTCCGCCTCCCCCAGGGCCCAAGATCTTGTACAATACACACAGGCGAGAACAACACGCTCAATGAAGGATGTCGCTGGCGCCTAGGCGGCAGCAGCATTTTTTATCACATATGTGGCGCACGCACACGCCGGAGCATCATTTCGAGACAAGCGTGTCGCCAGAATGCATGTGTCACGCCCATTCCGTGCGGGCCTGGCTCGGTGTCACCAAGGTCCGGGTTACGTCAGGTGGGCAGTCCACGTGAAAGGGGGGGTTGTACAAGGGGGGGGTCCCCCTACGAAGGGGGGGGGTCCCACATGGGGGTTCCCCTACGAAGGGGGGGGGGGTTGTACAAGGGGGGGGGGTCCCCCTTGGGGGTCCCTCTACGAAGGGGGTCCCTCTACGAAGGGGGAGGGGGGGGTTGTACAAGGGAGGGGGGGGTCCCCCTACGAAGGGGGGGGGGTCCCACACGAGCTCACGCACGCACCTCCGAGGCCCTCGGAGCCTCGAAATCCACCACCCGTGGCCTCCGAGATGCCTCAGGCCTCCCACGACGGCTCAAAGGGGGCACCAACACGCCCGAACGGCCTCTTGCCGTCGCTCGGACGTCCATTCTCCGTGCATCTTTCGGTTTCGTGCGTGTTTTTTTGCTCGATGGTCCAGGATGGTCCTCGATGGTCCTCGCCGAAAAAAAAATGCACACGTCCGAGCGATGCTAAGGCCTCAAGAACAACCAAGATGGCATCCACACGGCCCACGAGGTCCCAGGGCCCCAAAGACGCCTGAGGAGGGCCCCGAGAGAACCCCCTAAGAGGGCCTTCAGAAGCGACAACAATTGCTTTGCGCACTTTTTTTGTTGCCTCAAGAAAGAGCGCACTCTCGCCTGTCTGGGCTTCTGCCTAGCACTGGGCGGTCTGCGAGGACCCCTCAGACCGGCCCATCACGGCCCAAGCCGCCCCCAAGAGGGCACAAGGACAGCCCACTAGGACGCCATGACGGCCCAACAGGCCTCCAAGATTGCCAAACAGATTCTCAAGAGGGCCCCAGGAGCGGCCCTAAAGCGCTACTGTCAGTTGCGGGAGTCAACCTAGTGGTGCTTGGCCCCGTAAAATGTTGCTGCGGAATATACGTGCCTCAGCAATTGCATGAATTAATGCGTTCTTAAATTGGCTACATTGTGGAACTACGTGAACATGAGAGCCTGCTTTTGAATCACATCTTAGATCGACGATGTGTGCGTAGGGGCTCGCTCGTTCGCTCAAGATAATGCTGACCAGGCCCGACGCTGCCACTTATAATCCCCAAAGCATGCTAGTTACCACAAGATGGCACTATGAATGCCCATGTGCTTCCCCCCCCCACACACACAAAAGGCGCTTCAGAGAACATAGCTATTCAATCGTAACGTCGATTTGGATATGCAGTTCCCCCGATGACACAAGATGGACCAAAACCAAAAGACCACAAAACTCTCGTGCGCTGTTTGGATCAGTCATGCCCTAAAGCCAAACCAGCCATGTGACCATTTTTGTTTTCTTCTTTCCTGAGTAACGGTCGTTACCCTACGGGGGGAGGGGGCTTTGGGCGGGAAGCTAACGGTAACGGCGGCCGCGGCGTACACCCGTCACGGTGCGTCCGCGCCACCGGCGCATCAATCGCCTGTGTGCACAGCAGCATGCAGGGGGACCCCCCCCCAATGCGATCGTCAGCGTGACCCGGGGGGGGAGGGGTGGACCCAGATAACGAGCGTTACCCTGGGGAGGAAAAAAAACGCTCATCATCGAGGCCTACTGTGAAGCTTCGATCGCCACGTGGGGAGGGTGCACGAGCAGCACCCACTGCTACAGCATGACCGCCTGTCATGACTGATCAGTGGTAATACTTGGTCTTGGCCGTGGCATCGGTTCCCTGTTCCTGTTTACCTGCTCTAATGCGGTATTGCCTCCCCTCTGCCCAATGCACCGCGAGTGGACGTGAGGAGGATCGGGTAGCACGCCGCATCTATCACGTACTTGGCGGCTGTCCTCAGCAGAGGGGCTGGGGGACAGCAAAGTAGTTTGGCCTCATGTGTGTGTAAAGGTATTTCTGCAGATGGCGCGAGAGAGACAGAAAGAAAGAGAGGGAACGGGTAAGGACAAGGTGGCACTTGACAGAGCTCAGAAGGCGCACTGAAGCTGCCGTCGTTGAGAGAGAGAGGAACAAACACACACACACAATAACGGAGAACAAACCCAATCATAATCTTTTTAAGGCTACGGGGCTATGGGGATATAGGGCTATAGAGCTATAAGGCTCTGGGGCTATGGGGCTATAGGACTATATGGCTGTAGGGCTATAGGGCTATAAGGCTATAAGGCTATAAGGCTGTGTGACCATAGAGGCATAGGGCAGTAGGGTTATCGGGCTATAGGGCTATAGCGCACTTGGGCATTTAGGGCTATAGGGCTATGGGGCTACAGGGCAATAGGGCAATTGGGCTATAAGGGTATAAGGCTATAAGGCCATAGGGCTATAGGGCTACAGGGCTACAGGGCTATTTAGGCTATGGGGCTATAGGGCTGCAGGGCTATAGGGCTATAGGGCTATCAGGCTATAGGGCTGTAGGGCTGTAGGGCTACCGGGCACCCCCGGGCACCTCCGGGCACCCCCGGGCACCCAGGCACCCGGGCACCCCCGGGCACCCGGGCACACAGGCCGGCCACCGAAATCGGCGACGAACCTCACCTAACCATATGAATCCGCTAGGACCCCTACAAAGGCAAGCTCTGAATGGGGAAAAAGACAAGAGAGATGACATAGAGAGATAGTGAGAGAGGTAAGAGAGACAGAGAAAGAGCGATCTATGTATATATATATATACAGAAAGAGAGAGAGAGAGAGAGAGAGAGAGAGCTGTGAGAGAGGGTTCAAACTTACGAATTTGTAGAACTACACATGCTTTGAATACTTTGATATCTATATATAAATGTATATATATATATATATATGTGTATAGGACATGAAGAATGCGCCAGCACCCTTGTGGGGCCACCAGGCTGTAGGACGAAGCTTCGCAGTTTCCTGTACCAGTTGCAGCTTCCAGTTCCCACTGTTACAGTTCTGCTTCTTGCTGCTTACTGTTCCTTGTTGACTTCTTGCTGCTTGCTGTTCCTTGTTGATGGACCGCGCGAGTGGGGGAGGCCCAAAACAGCAATTTTTACAACGCCCAAAACGTATGCTCTGAATTTCTGGGGTGGGAAAAAATTGACACCCCTCACGCAGATCGGCGGGGTCAGGGTCCAACTCACAAGGGATTTGCCACATTTCTGAAATTCGGTGGCACCCCTCATGCAGATCGGCGGGGTCAGGGTCCAAAAACAAAACAGGATTTGCCACATTTCTGACATTCGGTGACACCCCTCACGCAGATCGGCGGGGTCAGGGCCCAGAAAAACACATGGGATGTGCCACATTTCTGACATTCGGTGGCACCCCTCACGCAGATCGGCGGGGTCAGGGTCCAAAAACATATAGGATTTGCCACATTTCTAACATTCGGCGGCACCCCTTACGCAGATCGGCAGGGTCAGGGTCCAAAAACACAAAGGATGTGTTACATGTCTGAAATGTGCTGGCACCCCTTACGCAGATCGGCGGGGTCAGGGTCCAAAAACAAAACAGGATTTGCCACATTTCTGATATTCGGTGGCACCCCTCACGCAGATCGGCGGGGTCAGGGTGCAAAAACACATGGGATTTGCCACATGTCTGACATTCGGTGGCACCCCTCACGCAGATCGGCGGGGTCAGGGTCCAAAACCCCTCACGCAGATCGGCAGGGTCAGGGTCCAAAAACACAAAGGATTTGCCACGTTTCTCAAATTCGGCGGCACCCTCACGCAGATCGGCGGGGTCAGGGTCCAAAAACATATAGGATTTGCCACATTTCTAACATTCGGCGGCACCCCTTACGCAGATCGGCAGGGTCAGGGTCGAAAAACACAAAGGATTTGTTACATTTCTGAAATGTGCTGGCACCCCTCACGCAGATCGGCGGGGTCAGGGTCCAAAATAACAAAAAGGAATTTGCCACATGTCTGACATTCGGTGGCACCCCTCACGCAGATCGGCGGGGTCAGGATGCAAAAACAAATGGGATTTGCGACATTCGGTGGCACCCCTCACGCAGATCGGCGGGGTCAGGGTCCAAAACCCCTCACGCAGATCGGCAGGGTCAGGGTCCAAAAACACAAGGGATTTGCCACATTTCTGAAATTCGGCGGCACCCCTCACGCAGATCGGCGGGGTCAGGGTCCAAAAACACAAGGGACGTGCCACATTTCTGAATCCCGACACTGCTTCACGGCGGCGCCCAGGCCCCATGATTTAGCTTTTGCATCTCCCATTATCCGAGATAAAGGGGCTGGCGGCATGGGGCGAAGCCCTTACGGATAATGGGGAGCTAGAGAAATATATCCAGAGTGAACGAGAATGCATACATATATATATACATACAGAGAGAGAGAGAGAGAACGAACTATATATGTATATATGTACAACTGCATATGTATACATATGTATATATATGTATATATATATATATGCATATGCGTATGTATATGTATATGTATATGCTTATGCATAGGTTTATGCATATATGTACATATGTATGTATTTAGAGAGACGTCAGACGAGCGCGGGCATGAAAGAAGGTGGTGCTTGGACAGGGCTAGAGCGAGTGATTAAATCCATAATATCATACATAGACATGTGCATACATATGTTCGCCGGCCCAACGGACCAGAAGCGTGCTAACATCTCCGGTAACTGGTAAACCATATTTCTAGTTCGCGCATGCGGGGCGGCCCCTGGGGGTACGCGACCGAAACAGATCCTGGGCAGGTCCCCTGCAAAGTTCTGCTCCTGGGCGCCGCCTTCAGAGCCTCCCAAGAGCCGCAAGAGCGGCCCAAAGGACCCCCCCCAAGAAGCCCTCTAGGTGGTCCTAGAGGCCTCCGAGACACGACACGACCGCTCCGGGACGCCCAAGATGGCCCCAAGACGGCCCAAGAGGCCCCAAAGAAGCCCCAAGAGCGCTCCAAGAGGAGCCCAAAGAGGGCCACAGGAAGCAACAATTGACTATCCTTGTTTTTTCGAAGT